TATGTATATATGTACTGTATGTACTGTTTGCATCCATCCAGCTCTCAGTCCATCTGTCATATCATATTTAACAGGAAGGAGCCTTATCTCTGCGAGCAGTGAGCATGCAGTCAGCAGGACAGTACACCTGCCACGCCTCCAACTCTGAAGGAAACGTGACTCGCATGACAAAAGTGAAGATCAAAGGTCAGTTGTTGCCTGACGGCCTATCTGTCTGTCTGTCTGTCTGCCCATTCTTTCAGTCTCTGTGATGTCTGTGTGCCTGACTGGCTGCGAGCCACCATAATTTACATTTCTGTTGCTCCCTCTTGCATCATTTGACAGAGTGGTAACAGAAACTCAAACCGAATTCCACTCTTATTCTGTCTCTGTGAAGATAACATTGATATCATGATATAAGACAGCATATCATCTGGGATTTTGGGGGCATTTCTTTATCGTGATAAAACGTTTGTGTTTCGCTCAGTTTGTAGGCTGCATTTCAGAGGACATGACTGTTTCTGACCTTGGTAGGCTGCTGTAGTTGAGGGGAATGAGCAAATATCTCTCTTTGGTCATCAAATTCACATTAGTAATTAATTAATTAATATTTTTCCTAAAAATGTAAATTTCTCATATGGTATGTGGTGAAAAATATATCATGGGACTGAATGTTTTTTAATATTTCCAGGTCCTAAGACACTCACACTCACAGAAGTTTTCAGATTACAGCTTTCCAAATTTACAGTCCACTCTGAGGACAAATACATGTCGAATATGCAAATATGCTACTGTGTATCATTGGATTACACCGACACAGCACTGCATAATACATTGTGGAATTTATTTCTGACTTCTTCCTGTACTCCTACTCCTACTCCTACTGCTGATTTTCTCCAGAGAACCAGGACTCGTCTAGAGCGTGGTGCATAGGGAAATATTTAGTTTTGGCATAATGTCTGACTAAGATTTTACTTCATTTTGGAATCTCACAGTCGCAGTGGTCACATTTTGAATAATAATCACCATGAGCCTAATACTGTTCAATCTAAGGCACATTATCTAAGCTTTGGCTGTGTTTTTCTGCAGCGTTGCCACATGGATGGATTAGAGTAGACTAATGACAGATCTGGATGAAGCCAGTCTAAAAAGCCCTAAGTAACCTCTCAACTATCACTCATGCATATATCCATTCAGCAT